TCACCCGTTATATCAGAATCGTCAACAACAGAGTATACAGATAAGATGTTATCATTTAATTCCTTCCAAAGATAAACACTATGCAAATATCCACGAAACGGCAGTTGTAGTCTTTTCTTCTAGTGTTTTAAAACACTAATTTGAGCAACGTTATTTCGCAATTTCGATCTTTTGTAAACCTGGGGTGATGTATCAAGGTCTAAAGTAACCGTTTTATCAATTTTTGAAAAATCAAGAAAAAAGTGAAAATTTCCCTTCTCGCTACCTTAAACATCTAAACTTAGACAACTAAAGTTGTTTCATCCATAAGTTTGTATGCCTGATCGGTTGGTTATTGGTCTGAGTGGTGAGCTGATCAGATGTAGGTAGGGCAGAATTAAAAAAAAAAAATCACAAAATCAAAATCAAAGTAAAATAATAAAATAAAATGACATTAATAACAAAAGTAATAAAAAATAAAATTAAAATAAGTTTATAGCCAAAATAATTAAAGCCCGTACACTACATCAGATTTTAATCAGATTGGACTCAACCCAGATTTTGCCACTTATGGTTACACATGCAATCTGGTACGCTGAGTACATAGGTGTCGTTTTGTCAGATCAGATCATTACACATTGGTCATGTACAATGAGGGAGTTTCACAAACACAATACACACATATCAGTTACGACCGGGTTTGTAGAAAATTTAAAACTGACTATCTACTATAGAAACTAGTGATATTCACCCAATTAACGTCGTTATCCAATGCGGTATGCCGACACTCACTGATTAAATCGATTAGTTTTAGTGAAACTACTAAAGTTTAATCCGGTTAGTGTCCTTATACCCATAGGTTAATATTAGCAAATCTGATTGTAAACCAGCCGTACATCTATTTATATTCAGTTGTATATATGCTAAGTATAATTGCCACAAACAAAAATACATAACACGCAAACCACAGAGTATGGTGTAAAGTTTAATGATTAGAAAAATACTTGGTTACATAGCACTTGAACCCGTCATGCAAATTGTTCTATAAGAGTAATAATAAATAGTAATAAGTTGCAGGGATTCCAAATAAATATATACCTTCAAAGATGAGATGAATTACAATTATAGGAATGGAACGATATACTAATATTCTCGCTATACCATGCAATAAATACAGTAATACAATTTGGAAAACATCCTGTAGATCGTCGAACTATTTCTAGTTTAGCAAAAGTTCTTCTAATA